TAATCAATATATTATATCATAATATACAATTACTAATCGCACCTCTTTCTTATATTGTGACTTACAAGTTACAGCTGTTAAAAGATATAACACACTGAATTTGCCCGCTTGTATTTGTATATACAAAATTTGTTAGACGTGTATCTATTGTCCAAGTCTGTCCTAGTTTTCTAAAAGTTCTTGAATCTCATACACTTAAAGCATCTAGAGCTAATTTCGCGCCATCTGCGGAAATTTCCATTTTTATTTTTCGAATTAATTTCTATATTATATTATCGGATGTATTTATATCCACAGGGTTTTTCAAAACGGTTAATCCACCCTTCAATCATATTATTTGTTTGATGTCCTACTAGTTCCTACTAATGTCGTATTATGTACATGAAGGTGAAAATATAGGAGGAAATCTGGAATTTTACTTACAGACCAACGTTTCAAAACACCAGAAAAAAGATGCCTTTACATCAAAATCCCAGCYCTAGTTATTATGATAGATAATAAATATATATGAACAAGCATTTTATACATTACACTTTAAAATACAAAGTACAACTATGGAACTATACAAGAAAACATATTTCGGTAAATTTTTCACTTAACTTTTTCCGGGGACTTTTTTAATCGTGATTTTTTTTCGATGACTTTCTTTTCCTTCTACCAATTTTAAAAGTAGTTATAATAGTTATATCTGCATGCCAGCCGCCACTCATAAAGTTATTAGTGTGAGAAACTTCATCAATTATATCTTTCCTAAAATTTAAATGGCAGAGGCTTATAGCTTAATTCCTACTTCCTACAAGGAGACCAGATTGCAAAATAAGTWACTATGAGAACAGTAAGTTACCCTCACACAGTTATAATTCATTATCTTATACATGTATAACACTACCTATTAAATGTTTTCCGTGTTGTTTATATATTGAGYATAAAGCAAATATATGGTTTACAATTATACAACAKTATGCCTTCCAAATTGTGCCTATGATTATAGTGTATCACCGAAGAGGTAGAAAGAAAAAAAGGAGTTAAGGGACTGGACCCTCAGATAATACTTTATCTTGTCAAACTGCACTCGGGTAATCGAGTTAAAAATAGGTAATGTTCGAATCTAATGCAATTCGGACAATAAAGGTATTACGAGTAGATGACGTAACTAAGAAATGAATAAAAATGATATAGGTACCCACATGATTGACATTTTTATATTAATAATTGAAAATTTTAACCATGTTTAATTATTTATTATTATAACGGAAACAATCCAGTAAAACATAATAAGATTACAGAAATATAAATCATTCAACCTTACCAGTTTAATCGAACATTCAGTTTTCTCAGTGAAACCCGTCTTAACGGATACTTAAAAATGTATTATGTTCCCGTGTGTGTCCAATATAGGCAGATTTTACTGTGTTTGGTTAGGTTATTATTATTTAGGCTAATTATTTTTAGTTGCCATTTTTTCAACATATCTGAGATACCTTATTATTATTACTCGAGTGGCCGAGTTGCAGTTTATAGTTAAGAAGCACCATACGGGCATTTGTTTTCTTCGTCTTACAAACGGGCAAGGTACAACATGRAAAATTTTACGTYCACAATAAAATGTTTTACTCAATAAATTTTTAAATTAGATTGAATTTACCTCCCAAGACAAGAATATTATWAAAGGCATTTCGGAGGATTTTATTGATATTACYATTTTTAATTTTTGTTTTGTACAGTTTTAAAACGATCATAACTTACTTAAATAATAATGTAATAAAATCTATAATATCATTTTAGATTACAAAGTAAAATGTATTATTGTGAACGCAAAATTTGCCATATTCACGTCTGTAAGGCGGAGACAACAAATGTACAATAAATGTGGTGTACTGGTGTGGCGTTCTTTCAATCACTCTTTAAAACCAACGAGTATTTAATGTAAATGTAATACGACTATGACTATACGTAGCATAACAAGTGATGCATATTAATTATTAACATCATATATCTAGGTAKGTAGGTACTTTACTACTTTGTGTCTGGTCCACCTTTTTTCGTACCTATTCGATTTCCATATAGCTCCTTTCGCCAGATAAAATTCAAAAAATGTGCTTATTCAAAGGTCGCAGACTTGCGCTAATTGCAGCTGTTAACGGCCATGATGGTYATTATAATATTATTGCGGTCGATTTGAATACAACCGGCGTGTGTAAAAATGTATGCTAAAAATAAAACTGAGGAAAGAATTAAATAATAATGCGCGAATATTATACAATAGGTCCGTGTCAACAAGCAGCTGTCCTACATTGGATATATTGTGTGCTACCATCGTAAAATTTCTATACCGCCTGTAACCAGTGTAACCGAGTGCCTACCGCAATAATATGACGTTTCATAATAATAATAATAMATTGTATTTTATGTCGGCGTACCAGTTATATTATAATATGTATTAAGAGTTTGCCGACCTACTTACCAATATTTTTGAGTTTTCGACACGTGTGTTTCTCGAAATCAGTTCGTCGGAGCTCCKCGAATATAGGTACTTAATATTTAAAAATCAAAACACCGCAGCAGACTATGATGATCATCTATACAGGGTGATTCTTTTAAGTGGGTACACTAATTATCTCGAAAAGTATCTAACTGAACAAAAATTGATTTTGAATCAACATTAATTGAAATAAAATTGAAAAAATATTCCAAAGCAGAATATTTTTCTAAGTATTTTGAT